ACTTTGTTTAACTGCCTTATCGCCTACAGACAAATTCAACCGCATGACCCACATAATAAAGTTTAAAAGGAAGCAGAGGACTTTTATTTACAATGGCACATTTGAGGTGTGGATGATCTCTCTGTGGCTTCGAGATGCGACTTTTCCGCCTCTTACTCCCTAATTGTCCGCAGAGATATTCCGGTTTACTTAAATCGGATAGCGGCATTCAAGTTCATTCCCGCAATGACTTTAATCTAGCTGGTACTCATCAGACAATCCTCTGATTGGTTTGAAAATCTTTGTGTCTGTTGTCCAAAGTTTGTATTCTTTTGCCTTTTTGTGTGTTGAATCTTTCACTACTTAGTAACGTACATCCGAATTTAATGTGTGGTAGCAAATTCTCTGCTTCACTCCCTCTCGATGCTACTATCCCAATGAGGAGTGCTATGATTTTGGCGGGCGGATTATCGAGTTCATTCCAGTCCTCTAAAATGCAATGTTGATGAGATATCAACAGGTGCATAAGTGGCATGATCACCCATATCATGGTTGTATTATTCTTTTTGCCCTGATTTAGGCAAAGGAGAAGGTGGCACTTAAAATTCTCCAATTTATTGATAATTTGAAGTGTAGATACACGCGTTGAAGATGTGGACCATATCTTGGCGGACAAACACGGGGGAGGTGTGCCGGATGTAGTGTCCTGTGGGCGTGTGTCGGAGAGCATAAGTGGCTGATGAAGGCCTCCAATTCGCCGAAGAGCTGAGTAAAATACCAAAATTTCACCAACACCACCTGTACTGCATTTAGCTTCAAAAGAAGGCACTCAGGAGAGCAATTCCTTGGCTTCAATTACAATTTAATTTAGGGGCATTATATCTTCCTCCCATGATTTGTAAATTTACATAGATCATACATTTAGGTAAATTCACTTCAACTAGATTTTTTCTCGTTGCGCTTACTATTTATGACTTATTTTTGTGTTAACCTTGGCCGAATTATTAATCTCCCGGAGAGGAAGCTTTTACTAAGTATTACCTCACAATCAGCCCCAATATCGGAAGGGAAGTGCCCTAGGACTCCCGGAAAAAGAAGATGAATTTAAAGTTATTGGCTAAGCCCGAAATTGCAACGCACATATGCAGGGTACAGAGGCAGTACCTACGCCAAAGTTTCCATTCACTTCAAATACACAGTTGTTACATGAACACAATATCGTCTACAGGTGACTGAATAAGTGGCTTCTATCAGTAATCCTAGCATTGATCACACACAAGTTTCGGTAAAATCTAGCCGAGTGTACCTTTTCTTTTATCCTTGAAAATATGCCCTCCTCAACGAGAGGCTGTATTGTTCTTTAGTGTTTCATTCTATTGTCAGCGTGGACATTTGTGAGGCAGGCTGGCTAGCTCAGCATTCAAATCAACTGGTGCAGATGCGTGTGCACAAGTGGGCAGTGACGTTTGTACAATAACACAGCGCCACTATTGTAAGACACTCGTCAATGCTGGATTTGAGTGCCACTTTATTTGTGCCACTGCATTGCAGGTCGATTGTGCCTGTGCACATGCATGCTTCAGTCATTTTAACTTGCTTCGTAGTGAGGCCATTTTGACGTCGACC